AAAAAATTTTCAAATTCAGTGCACTCACAGTGCTATGAGCGACAGACGCGAGTACGCGAATGATCAGGCCTCTATGGCAGCGAAGCGGGGGACGTGCTACCACTGCCTGGCTGTCCAAGTACTGCATTGCTTGAATTGCCATAGTTTATCTACTTTTATCAACCATTTTCAGATCACCAGATGACTCCAAAACTTCTAAGATTAAACATGGCCTTAAGAGCTCTTAATTTTCTGAAATTTGTTTTGAACACTCGAACATTTCAAGCCATCTAGTTTCCCATAATTTAAGTATCTGATTTGTCTTGACTCCAGTATCTCTTTGAAATTCTTTAAAAATCGTACTTCGTTTGGGGCTATTTTAGGGAAAATTTTTTTTTAATTTCTTGCAAAAGAATTTAAACGTCCTATTAGTACGTTAGCATTGTCACTACATTTAACTGACAACATTACTACACGGTATTCCAAATTGTTTCAATTTAATTTTAAAGGACTCAATGATTTTTTCAGCAGAAGCCGAAGTCACATCTAATTTCATGACAGTTAGATGATGACTGATAATTTTATTACTTTCAAAAGCAAAATATTGCCGAGAAAGACACAAAAGTTTTTTATCACTACGATCTGTGCTTTCATCAATTAATAAAGAAAAACGAACTTTTTAAAATTTTTCGACGATTTTCATTTTTATTTCACGTGCCGAAACATTGACAATAAGTCCCAAGCATCTTGTACTTTCGAGAGTCATTGATTGCGTAGTTTCCAGATTTAAAGATAACTTTTCTATTAAAGGGAGCAACTCATTGAAAAAATCAATACTGATATCATGCTGAGCAAAAAAAACTTGAAGTCAACTCCGATTGTTGGCAAAGTTCTTTGTTGGACAGTGATTTCACCGTGAGTGGGACAAACGTCAAAATTGTTTTGACATAATATTGTGCATTGTGCATATATATAGTATTGTAAAAGCTACTGAGTTTCTGACTGGTAGTATATACACGTATACAATACATGTACACGCTTATCTGCAGGATCAGTACTCTAATATTGTGATATTATGTGAAAAATAGTAAATACAAACTGAATTGATTGGAGAAGAATGCTAGAAATTATTCTTTTGGGTTTTTTTGGCCAGTAGTGATTGCATCAACTTATAGATTGCTTAGTAGATTATATCGTTCTTTTTACACATCTGTTTTGAGTAAATGTTTTTCTTTTTTTTATACTTAAACATTCAAATAAATAATAAATTAATAAATACATGTATGATGTGTCCACCTTCGATACAAGGATTATTAGCCTGAAGAAACAAGGGAGAGAAAGAGAGAGCGTGTGTTCACAAAAATTGTCATTTGTTATGGGACTTGGATTTGTTACGAATTGAGTACTAATTAGAAATTTTTCAATCATTGTTTATCGAGTGATTTTTCAATCGATAAATCGATGCTATTTTTTTTCTACAAAGTAATATTCTCGAACAAAATACGGGAAGTATAGTAACTTATAAAGTTCTTTAGCTTCTAAACAATACTTTTGATTATATTTGACAAAAAATGATCATACAAGAAAATAAAGGGGGCATTCGAAAATTATTTTCCACCGTCACTGGAATTGAGAAACTGTGAATACGCCAAAGGCAGTTTTTTGTCTTTTAATTTTTTGTTAACCTTAATTTTATAATTCATTCACCTTTTATATTTACTATTTTATTCAAAGTAACGTAAAAACTTCTGTTTGGATTTTAGTTTGTAAAAGTTTACTTGACTAATTGATAATTTTCCGTATACTTCCTGTGATACATACAAACAAAATTACTCATGAGCATTAGCTTATGGGCTCTACATAATTTGTTATAGTTGTGTATAATACGTACATTAAATGAATAAAAACACTGAAATAAGAAAAAAAAAAAAAAATTGTCACCACCGAGATTCGATAGTCAGCCTATTTCGTCTAGTCAAAGCAAAGGATGTAGTCCACTTGACCATCACCGATGGTACCTGTAGTATACATGAAATCATATTTAAGTTGTAGGAAAAGGCGGGGCTTAGGTTTAAGTGTAGCTAGGAGGAGCTCCCCAATTGGGCCTCTTGAGTACAGGAGAGAGTAATTGTGTACTGTACATGCAGCTAATTCCCGAAAATCTGGGAGCCTTTTTTGGAAGTTCAAGCTCAGCATGTTTCTGAAACTAAAGTAAAGTTAATTGTAGTAAAAGTAGAGTCAGAGAAAAATGGAAAATTTCCATGGGAGGAACCTCTCTATGTTTGGGTGTACCTTACTCAATAATACTACTTTGAAGAAATTCTACTAAAAAGTAGTCTCTCTTATTAGTAGTTGTTATAGATCTATCCTCAAGCCCTAGCCTCTGTATGATCTTGATCCTTTGGTTAGTGAGGCACATAAACTGGTTAAAAAACTCTTTGCTGTCATTGGATGAGAAACACGTTTGTATTATACTGTCAGGTAGCCAAATCTCTAAATGGATTGGCAAAGATTGCTGCGCTTGCTCTTTAAACAGCGGTTTACACTTAATTCTGGCTACATTGAGACTTTGATACTAGATAAATAGTTAGAGGTAGACAGAAAGAGAAATCAACAATCTAAAACTACCGTCGGTCTATCCGTTATCGAGCGTCAGATTGCTATTGAAGGAGTAACCAGCCTAGGGAATAGATCAGACCAAATTGACCATTTTGCTATGGCGTTGACTATGTTGATCTAATTTGAGTTAGGATGGTTCCAGATAAAAGACAGATATTATAAAAGGGTTATATTTGCATGTTCTTTGCCTTAGCACCAAAGCCGTTCGCTTAAAAGTGATCTCTGAGCTTACGTCTCAGGAATTCGTCGCTGATTATGGATGTTTTACCAGTCAACCATGCAAGCTAATATGGAGTCATCAAGGTAGTAATTTTTTAAGAGTTGTACAAGAAGATTATTGTAAAGTTGTAAGAGTTGTGCACAAGGAAGTGTCCTAATACCGTGAAGACATTAAAAACGTTTTTCCACAGGGATATGGGGTAGCACTTTAATATACCTGATGCACCTCACTTAAAGGTATTTGGGAGGCAGTAGTTATGTCAACTAATTGTAAGTATTATATGCGTAGAGTTTGTGAGTGAATCTACTCTTACTTATAAACAGTAAGTTACGTTAATGTATCAGATTAAAGCTTGCCTCAACTCTAGATCTATCGTGCCGTTGACTGATGATCCTGCAGATGTACAATCCCTTACTCCAGCCATTTTCTTTTATTCAGGCAGCATCGATTATCATGCTAGAGCCTAACTACACGTTGGCGAAGATCCCAGCTTCTTGTCAATGGCAGATCATCTAGCAGATGATGCAGAATTTTTGATATCACTGGTCTCAAGTGTATCTTACAATTTGATAGATATGTGAGAAGTAAATAATCGAGCAGAAGTCTTCACTGGTAAGCGATCTGGTTTTCATTAATGATAAAAATATGTCACTAGCTCGCCAGCCGCCGGTTTGAGCTCAGTATGTTCAACCTCATGCGCTTAGCGTAGTAAGGTCTGTAGCTTAGCGTAATTTAAAGTAAAATACTAATTACAGTTATTAGCAAATTACTAAAAATTTAATAATGTTTAATATGGAACGACATAATATGCAATTGTTTACAGTAAAGATTCTTGTAAAAATGAAAAGCTTATATTTTCTTATAAACTATTGCATCTCACCTAATACATATCGAATACTGTCGAAAAATTTTAATGGTGACCTTATCTTAGAGTGTTCAAAGAATAAAGAAATCTCGAAAATATTTGAAACTGATTAAAAACTACAAAAATTCTTATCTTTCGTGAGTGTCATTTTAAAATTTAGGATTATAGTCGAATGCAATACAGTAAGTTTTTTAAATTATTTTCTTCTACCTCATCAAGAACAGTACTAATATTAAATCAGGCAACTTTAGATGGTTAAAGTATTCAAAATTGCCTTTTTATAAATATTCTCACAGCCTTACACATATAGAGATACAAGCCATTAAGATAACAAGAGGGTATGGATGCCTGTAAGTAGAAGCAATAAACACATGAACAAAGATGATTACTTGATAGCTCCCTCTCTCTCTCTCTCTCTCTCTCTCTCTAGGCTGCCCTCTCACCTCACTCCTCTCTCATATAAACACCTGCAATATGCCCTATTCTTCAACTAATCAGAGGGCTCTGCAGGAAGCTGTATCTTTATGCTTCCTTGTAGTTATATGACTCTACTTACTACGACTCTACTGAACTATAGATTATTGATGACTGTATGTACTACGCTATTTGTTAGTAGCCAGTATTTCTGAGAACAACACAGTATTGCATGGCTACCCCTTATACCAAAACTGAGAAATACTTTTACCGTGTCTTATGTGGTTCTTTATATCAGCCAAACCACTTTTCTCAATTTATTATTAGTCAACAGTTGAAACGAATATATTTAGTATTTTTCTTTCAGTCATTACGGAAATAGGTTAAAAGCTCTGTGTGACGAAAATTATAAAGAATTTATATCTAATCCCTTTTTTTCGAAAGAATATACATCATTTAGAAATCAGCCCGTCTATGAAATGTCATTGTATGTAATGCTATAAGTTACATAATTGAATATATTTTCTGCATTCATCTCAAGAAGAATTTGAGTAAAACTGTTTACAAGTTTCAATTCCGTAAGAATTCTCATTGTTTACCTACTTACTGTGCCACATTTATTACAAAAATCCTGTGGTAGTCTAAACAACGTTCATTTTTATATTCTATAAAAATAAAGTATTATTGTATTAGAAAATTTTGTACTATAACCTATAACTTTGTTACAGTTACAATGATGTAAAGCATGAACACAATGTGGAGTTAACTTTTCAAATTAAAAAAACATACACGCTGTCTATAAAATATGCTTTATTTTAAATGAGATAAATTTCTTACTTACAATATAAAACGTTCTGTAGCAATTTTTTCTTTCACTCCAGTAACTATGTATATGTTTTGCAGCGGTGCAATCACAAGCTGGTGAATTTTAACTTTGCTTGGCTAAAAAAAAAAATAGAGAACGTCATGGCTTTCGCAGGTCTAAAAAAGCAACTCAATAAAGCAAACCAGGTAAAATTTTTATTGCCCTCTAAAAATAAATTAATTTAATTGTATTTTTATAAAATTTTAGCATTCGTATTTTTTTTATGCATACGTGTGTCAGAATTGATGAAACAACAAGTTATCTATTTTAATGGATGTTATTATCCTAACACTATTTTTCATCATCCACTATCATAAGCAATTCCTAAATTTTTTAACAATGGTATAAAATCTAATTCGAACAAAAGAAAAAAGTCCAAGCCTTAATCACCTACGTGCTCTCAGACAAACTAGTGGAAGAGAAGTGTCATTATGGCAAAAACTTGAAAATACTAGAGAAAAAAGGATGTCTTCGTGTAGCCGAGATATAGACGATTAAAAAAACCGACTTTGGCAACAGCTACTTGTTCATGCAACGTTGTTAAAAACTGCTTAAATTTATTAAAAAAGTTTTCTAACAATAGCTCAGAAACTAGAATTTTTTTTTAAAAACAGTAAACGTATGAAAATGGAGCTTGTAGAAAGACATACAAAATGCTGCCAGAATTCTTAAAATTGGATAATTTGCTTGTCTAAAAATTCCCAAACCCTCTTGAATAAGGCAACTTTTTCATTGTTAATAACTAATCGCCCTTTTGTTCAAATGTTACCAAATAATGCTTTAACTGTGTGTTTTCTTAGTGGTAATAAACGTGTAAAAATTTTTTTTTTAATCGCCTTTATAGTTTTAGCAGTAAAACAATAGCTTATTCAAAAGTCTACCGGTCCAAAGACTGTCATTTTTTGAACTTATACTTCTACAGGCACGTTATGCGTGAGAGTAAATCAACGATCTCAGATTTTGACCTTGAGAAAAAGTGTGACGGAAATGGATTTCGCTTGATTCTCCCCCTTCACCTTGTACCCCGTGACGTACTTCTGGTCACCCTACAACACCCAACATAATCGTATCACACCACGCCACATAACATCATCTTACCATTCTACAGCACACATTTTGAGTATCACTTTTTTTTTTTTCCAACCAGTTTCTAAAAAAAAAAAAAAGACCGTTTCCAAGTATATTTAAACCCTTGACCACCTACATACTGACCAATGTTCTTACCCACTCTGCTATGAGTGTGCCTGATATTAAAAACTCCATTACTTCATTTCGTCGTACAGTTCGTTGCTTATTTTTAATATAAATTTTTATTTACTGTGTCTTTATTCATTTGGTTTGATTATACATTAAATAAATAGATAATTTATTTAATGAAATATATTTTTTAGGTTCATGTTTCAAAAATTTATTATAAGTATATATTAGCAGAGCTGCTGTAATTTTATGTTATGATAAACATTTACTCACTTATCATTATCTTGTTACTTTTAAAATAAGTAAATAATTGTTTACACAATTTTTCATATCATTTCAAAATTTTCAAAAATTAAAAAAACATTTTTTTTTACTTTACAAATACAAGAATAAATAACTATTTTGTTTTATTACAGTTTTTCCATTCGTAATAAAAGTAATTTTTTGACTTAAGGACGTTCTTCACATAGTTACTGGGGAAAAAGTTCAGAAAAATGAGAAGAACGCTAATGTGTGCAGTAAAGCTAGCAATGGTTTTTCTTATGTGGATGTACTCACATTCATGCTTTTATGCACACTTCTTCCACTTATTCTTAATTCATTTGAAAACCAACTTGTGGGTGTATTTGAAAATTCGATAGGTTAATCTAAAAGTAATCTTTTGTATCTAAAAAATTGGGAGATTCCTACAAGTCAAATGAATGCCATTTAACGTTATTTTTTCATTAGGTTACATGTTAAATATCAATTTTTTTAAATGTAACTTATATAACGTAATGAGACAGTTAAACGAGGTGTAATTTTTGTAGGTATTTTTTATACTATTTCAATATACGTTTGACGTTTGAGTAATATCTGTCAAAAAAACATATGTCTGATTAACATCCTGAAGGGAAATTTACTGGCATGTAATACTACTCTGTTAAAGAAAGCTACACTACAGGATGGTATTCCTTAATTTTTTTTGTACAATTATATTTTTGGGTATTAAATATGGACGAGGACTAATTGTGGGATCGTATGTTAGAGATGTGAGCGGAACGTCACAGATGTCATTAGCGTAGGTAGAAGGAAGTTGTTCTGAAATCACCGGTAAATTCGATAAAAGCGCACAGTTTTGTACGGGCCAGCCTATATATTATTTTTATTGTATTGCGCCATAATAAATTGTTTATATTCGTCAACTCATTAAATATTAATTAAAATCATACCCAATCAACTCAGATATAATTATTCCCACGATAATTGCACCAGCTTCATACACAGTATTGTTTCATAATAGTAGTTTTCCTACGAGATTGAAAAGTCTGTGTTTGCGAACCGAGAGGTTTGCGGCCCGAGCCGAAGGCGAGGGTCGTAACGAGGTTCGTAAAGGAGACTTTTCGAACGAGTTCTGGAAAACTGCTTTTTCGCCCGAGGAAGTACCAGCCTCCCAAAACCACCCGAGTGCGGAAAAAGATATTTTTATACTCAAAATTATATTGTTTGTTATATAATTTTATAGAAGTATATCTTTATACTTGGGTATCCAAGCACTCACTGTCCACTGATTTGTAAGCATCTTTGAAACATNAAACCACCCGAGTGCGGAAAAAGATATTTTTATACTCAAAATTATATTGTTTGTTATATAATTTTATAGAAGTATATCTTTATACTTGGGTATCCAAGCACTCACTGTCCACTGATTTGTAAGCATCTTTGAAACATGATTTAAACAGGATTATGTTTTTTAGCAATCATATTATCAGATTTAATGTGTACCCCATCTGTTTTTACGAGTTCTATTGTTTAAAAATGCCTCTGACGAATGGGTACGTTTAAATGTTATAAATTAATTAAATAACTTCCTCCTTCCTCATCGCACAGTTTTGTGACTAGGCTCATCGTTAAGCTACAATTTTTTTAAGAATTGAAAAAAAGTTTCTCTAGGTCACTTGGGAGTAAAAAATTTTTTTCAATTGACGATCGTGCTGTTAAGAAACAATGTTGTTCAACCAAATTTCCACAGCCAACCAATTTTTTATTTATCTAAAAAACGTAAAAGTCATAATGTTAACTTATCAAACCATTTTTGTATATTTGCTTGAAAAATAGCAACGTTTTTTTGCTCAAGATCAATAATTAATGTGTGATGGCGTCATCGGCCATACCCAGCTGTCTGTTGGTTTCCGTCTCCGGTCCTTGAAATCATTGAAATCACATTGATCGAGAAAAATACATCCTCTCAGCATTTTCTCGTTGTGGAATGACCATTTTTTCTACTTGGGGTAGCTTGCAAAAATAGTAAGATTAGACTTATTTTTTATTTTTGCCAAAGTAGACCACGTAATTTGTTTAACAACTAATAATAATAACCACAAAATAAGAAGTTTCTTAATTGGGCATGTAAAATATGTTTTCTTACGTATTTTTTTATGCTAAATTCGAATCCAAAGTCCGAATGGGGGGTATCGTGGAAAAAATTTAAGTAAATTGCCGTTTAAAGTCAGAAAATTCAGAAAATTAGTCTAAAACACCTTATTCATCATGTTCAAATGCTTAATGTGCAAGGATCATTGATATCTTATTTTTTAGTGTACAAAAGGAACAGACTTTAAGAGTTTCGGCCAAACGAGTTAAAAAGAAAATTCAGAATTCCGAATACCACAATACCCTAGTTGGCTGTAGGCTAATGCCTCAATATATTGTCACCAAGTTTTTTTGTTTATATAAATATATAAACAACTATATAATATACACACACACACGCACATGTATTTGTTTCTGCAAAGCATTCTAAACCAAGCCTCTGAATTCTCCCACCATCCCACGCAAATTTTTTTTACACCCTCCATCTACATCATCCTGACATCAGACCACACCATTTTTGTTGAATCTTACTGACACTCTTCTAACTTTTACGGACCTCCACACCTTCTCATTGACATACATGTACACATATCATGTTATTAACAAACTACGTTTAGACATAAACTTGAGCTAATACATACATGTATACATGCAAGTGAATATGATTTTCTGGTAACATACATAATAATAACATTGTACGTATGTGTAAATGTAGTTTTCGTTATTCTGACTTATTTTTTTTTTTACCAAAATACCCTACCAGCATTTACCGATCTCAGGATGCAAAAAGATGGACTTTACACGTAGAAGAAAATTTTAATTTTTCTTATTTTTAAACTGAGAATAAGATTATTAGTTGATTTTTATTAATCTTATTTTAATTCATATCTTAGTATGTAGTTTTTGATGCGCTTATCTATTCTTTTATAGTATTGGTAATAAACTATGTAAGAAATTTTAATTTTTTATTTGTTTCGTATGCTATGGAACTGATGCATGCATGAATATGAATAACATTCAATTATACAACAATACACACTATAGAAGTATTGTTCCGTTTAGAAGGCCCATTGTTATAAGTCAACCTACAGAATCATTGAATTTATTCGATTACAATTGATTATGCTGTTTAATGTATATGTGTTTAAAGGGAAGCTGAAAGGAAAGATAAAAAAAATAGTATTCTCTTTTAGAGGTTAAAAAATTAAGAGTGTATATATAAAGCTTTAAGCAGTAGGTTAATTCGACATCTGTTCACTGATCCCCATAAAAATTTTAGTACAGGGAGAGAATTTTCAACGGTGGAGGGTCTGAACAAAAATTAAGCTAAGTCAAAGTAAGAGAGAAAACAACGGAATTCTACCTTATTTTGTGGGCGAGCATTGGGGGATAACGGGGGTTTGTGGGGGATCGCAGGGGAGGAGAGCTAACGGGGCAGTGTGGGGTTGTAGCAAGGTTTGTGTAGAATGCCCTACACAAACAACTATTTAATACAGAAAGATATATATATTGTGGGTGTATTTG